CATATATACATGTATACATAGATACCGTGTTTGTATGCACATATACAAACACACACACAAACATACATACACATACTCAGTGTAGTATGACAGAAAGCTTTTTTGATTTGATGTGTTGAGGTGAAGTCAGTGAGAAAAAATGGATTCTCAGCTAGTCTCTCTGCATCAGCTCAACAGTATGCTTGCAGAAAACCCAAATTATCAAGAGCCTTCATGGCAACAGGGTCCCCGTGTAAGAGAACAAAGGACGAAGTGCTGTACCTGTTTCGCGTCTGTTTCGCGTCACGTACACTGGCACAAGTGTGAGATGATTTCATGGCGCCGGAGCAGCAGTGTGCCAGTAGTGCGGCAGCTGATGACGTGCTGTCCAGACTACCTGTGTCACGCTAGCCAGGGAGGGAAGGCACTGCTGCGTCTTGCGAAGAGGACAGTGGCTCTATGCTGCCCTCGTCGTGCTGCTGGAAGATATATATACGTTTCTCTCGTGTTAATTGATGAATTGCCAATTGGAAGGGTGATCTCTCAGTGTATACAGAGTGACGTTAGAAAAGCAGTGCATTTTGAAACACAGTTGTACGTTTAAAGAAAGTTTGATTGGTATATATATAAAGCCAGTGTATCCTCCCATTAGGTCACGAGGTCAGTTAATCACTAGGATAATTGCAGCTTTAAGTGAGCAGTATGCTGTGCACTCTTAAATTCATACTGACCATTTCCTGCAAAATGAAACTTACTTTCTTTTATATAAATTCAGTCTTTTATAATTACTGACTTCCAAGTATTATAATCATAGTAGCAATACAGTGTACCATTCGCGATAATGGCTACTTTGTCCTTTGGTGCAATGCCCGTATTCCGCCCTTTTTAAGTGTCGTCACTTTTGTTTGCTGGCGCTGAAGTGTTTTAGCGCTGCACTTATCTTGATCGTTATGTTGATCTTCCATGGTGGTCCTTCTGTCGTATGCACAATGAAACTCCCACACACAAATACAAAAACATTTTTTTTAAATATACACATGCAAGTATACACATGAGAAAAATATACAGATAAATACATGCATGCAAAGAATAAACACATGCAAAAATACGGACGATAAAACACGCACACACACATTTATACAGCAACGAATAAACCAAACAAACAGACAAACAAGCACACACGCGACTCAGGTGCTTCCCCTCGCCTCTCTCCTCGCATTTCCTTCTCTTATCAACGAAAGCAATGACTCTCTTGCCTCTTTCCTCTCCTGAATTCTTCTTTTTTGCTTTATTGGTTTCTTCTTTGTTTCGCTCGTGTCTTTGCACCCATTATCACTGTTCTCTTCCCACCTACACAAAAGAATGAAGTGATGACGTTAAGGATAGTCTGTAAAAATGAATAGATACACACACGCGTTTATGGATAGGGAAAGATTTAGAGATAAGCAGATTAACATTGCTAGTGGATATATCTATCTTAAATCTTTTTGAAAGAAAAATATTTGATTTACGCAAAACTCTAGATAAGGCATACGAGGTTATCCTGTAAATGGAGGCTGAAAAGCTTTAATGAACACTCTACTTATCTCTTGTAGAATGCCAAGGTTGCGTTTTAAATTGTAAAATATATGACCAGTGGATTCTAGAATTCATAGGCTATTATCTAAAAGTATATGGATTGTAGTTATTTTTTTTTTATTTTCTCGTGTCACTGTTTGATTGATTGGTTTCGATATGAATGGTGAAAAATTGTTCACGTCTCTTTATTGACGTGTGTGCTTATCTCTCCTCTCCTTCTTCTCTCTCTCTCCTTCTCTTTCTCTCTCATCCTCTCCTTCTTCTCTCTCTCTCTCTCTCTCTCTCTCTCTCTCTCTCTCTCTCTCTCTCTCTCTCTCTCTCTCTCTCTCTCTCTCTCTCTCTCTCTCCTCTCTCTCTCCCTCGTCTCTCTTCCTCTCTCTCTCCCTCTCTCTCCTCCTCTCTCTCTCCTCTCTCTCTTCCTCTCTCTCTCCCTCTCTCCCTCTCCCCTCTCTCTCTCTCTCTCTCTCTCTCTCTCTCTCTCTCTCTCTCTCTCTCTCTCTCTCTCTCTCTCTCTCTCTCTCTCTCTCTCTCTCTCTCTCTCTCTCTCTCTCTCTCTCTCTCTCTCTTTGGAGGTAATTATTAGGGGGATGGGGTAGGCGATACGATTTTCCTGATAGCACGTTTTTTCGAGTCCTTAGACTACACTCATGATCCTCGTTCTTCCCGCCTGTACTTCTCACTCTAGCCCTAAACCTCGCCAACCCTCTCCACCCACACTTCCCTGAAACTCCCTCCCTTAAATTCCCTTAAATCCCCACTCAGACTTTGAACTTTATCTCTAGCCCATCCCAAAGTGGTGACGGTAGCATCAGCTTGAATTGACCTTCACATATGCCATGCTCTGACTTGGCGCAAGCTGTACCCCGGAAACCAATAGATAAGAGAGAGGTCTCGTTTGTTTTGCGAGCGTCGCGTGTTGGAGAAACAGCTCCACGCAGCAGAG